TTTAGAAATCTTTAATGTAATTACTTTTATTACTTAATAAAGTTTCTACTTTGGCATAACAAAAAAAAAAAAAAAAAGTATTATTAAATTAATTAAAAACATCATTATTTGTTAAAAGCATTATTTATTAAAAGCATTATTATTTTTAATTAGTGATTATAATAAAAAATTATATCATCAGGCTTTGGATATATATTTTAAAGATTTGGATGACTGTTTAGGATTTGGATATATATTTGAAATTTGTGACAATATTTGGAATTTGAAGTTATATTTGGGTTTTGGCAAAAGCCTAAATCCCAACTAAAAAGTACTATAAATGTTAAAACAGTGCTGAAATAGTTTGAGTAATATTACTAATTGGGGGTTTACAAAAGTATTCCAACTTTTTTTTAAAAAATATAACACAGTTTGATATTTTATATTTATGTTTAACAAGGCTTTAGCTTTATTGATTCTCTTCTGATTCTAAAAACCTTAGTACTTTTATTAGTAACATTGTCAATAGGTATACTATGTACAAATGCAGATTTATGTATAATATATAGCACAAATGACCTTAAAGAAAAGTTTTGCAAATTAATACCAGACCTTTTGTCTAAGGTTATGCAAAGCTCTGCTATTTTAAATTTAAAAGAAAAACTTTGTTTAGATAACCAATATTGTTAAATTTATTATAATAAATTGATAGAATTTGATAGAGACTTAAGTCCAAATAAAAAACAGAAATGTAAATTAATTTCAATTTACAATATTAATAAAAAGTGTAATAATGACATTTTAAACAAACAATTCAATACTAAAAATTGTTATAAAAATGGTATAAGTGTTTCTAAAGATGAAAACAAGACATATGAATGGTATTTGAAATTAGCCAAAGGTAGGAATTCTGATAGACAGTTAAGTGTTGGAAATTGCCACCAAAATAGAATAAGTGTTTCTAAAAATGAAAAAAAAGCATTTAAATGGTACTTGAAATCAGCAAAAGGTGAAAATTCTAACAGAAAATTAAGTGTTGAAAATTGCTACCAAAATAGGATAAACACTCCTAAAGACAAAAAAAAGACATTTGAATAGTATTAGAAATCTGCTAGCTGTAAAAATTCTAATGAGCAATTGAATATTAAAGGTTGTTACTTAAATGAAATTGACATTTCTAAAGATAAAAAAAAAGCACTTGAATGATACTTGAAATTTGCTAGAAGTGAAAATTCTGATGGATAATTAAATGTTAGAAAGTGTTAACAAAATATTCCTAAAAATATAAAAAAGGCATTTAAATGATACTTGAAATTTGTTAAGAATAGAAATTACAAAGAACAATTTAATGTTGAAAATTGCTACCAAGATGAAATAGGCATTTTTAAAGATAAAAAAAAAGTTTTTGAATGATATTTAAAATCTGCTAAAGATAAAAATTCTAATAGACAACTAAGTGTTAAAAATTGCTACAAAGATGATATAGGTGTTCCTAAAAATGAGAAAAAGATATCTAAATAGTTCTCAAAGTCTACTAGCAATGAAAATTCAAATAAGCAGTTAAATGCTAAGAATTATAACCAAAATAATATAGGTATTTTTAAAATAATTTCAATATCTGTAATATTTAATAAAAAGAATATTAGAAAAAAACCTTTTTCTAATGTGCAGTCAATATCAGGACAAAATAAATGATTAGCTACCTTTAGAAATAATTCCAAAAAAAACTTTTAGAACTAATTATATATTATTAATTGGTTTCTAAAAATGAGTAGCCTATTGTTCATATTATATAACATTCAATTAAATATTAATAATAATATTATTAATTTAAATTATTAACTATTTAATTAGATGCCATTGTTCGAACATGTGATGAATCTTTACTTTCTTGAGATGGTTATTAGTGATTGGCTGCTGCTAAACCTAAACTCACCTAGGAGCATCAAGTTGCTACTCAGAGAATTGAAATAACAAACATAATGAATGAGAAAATTAAAATTAGAACTTTTAGTATCGATAAAGTTATAAATTATTCTAGCTTCAAGAATAACATTTCAGAACATAATAAAAGAATAGTCATTGAACATTTAGAAATAGGCAATGGCATTTATAGGACAATAAAATCTATTTTAAATATTCTTCTTCCTATTTGAAAAAAATATTCTCTATCTATTTTTATTTTAGAAAATCTATTTAGATTAAAACTTAAAAATAATAACTATAATATAAGTTGCAAAAAAACTATATAATAATAACTTTTTGTTTTTTAAATAAAAATAATAGAGTTTTGAAGCCAAATTATTAGTATTAATATGTTTAATAATTTAGTTTTAAAATTTTTAATTGTTAATTATTTAATTTTAAAATTTTTACTTTTATTATTTAATATTTGCCTATATATTAGGAAAGAAAATTATGACATGTTGGCAAAGGTTGAACATATATTCAAATTTTAACTTTTAGATCTTAAAAATAATAGTTTCTTTAATTATGAAGGTATTCATTGGCTGGTAGAATTGTATTTTTGTAGTAATTGAAAGTTTATATACATAATAATAGAACTAAAAGTTCTGAATGCTAATTACTTTTGTTTGTACTATAATTGTGATGTGACATCTCATTAGAACATGAATCAAGATTGGGCTAATACAGGAAAATCAAATGTGATATTAGTTATACAGTAGAAATATTAAAGTTTTAATTTTTAAATATTTTACTTTACAAATTATTATTAAGAATTATCAGCTCTAAATATAAGCTTATTAATTACATTTTATTTAATAAACTTGGCTTAAAGAAATTAACTTAGTAGAGTTGATTTAAGCTTGTATATATATAAATTTTAAATTTATAATGTAAAGCCAATTTTAATGATAGTTTGGAAGTAAAATATCTAAAAGTTAAGAATTTATTTTTAATGATATATATTATATTATAGCTAATTATTCTATATATCTTTAAATCTTTTTTTATAATTAGGTATTAAAAAACCAGCCTTATTTTCATTGATTAATTAAGAAAATTATATACCTAATAAGTTGCATTTGCTTTTATAAATATCAGATATTTTAATAAAATGTTTGTTTAGTGATTTGTTTAAAAAAAAGTGTTTAAAAAACAAATCAAGTCAGTTGTTAAAGAAACATTTAAAGATCTTAAAATACAATTTGAATTTTTTAAATTATCCAGTAACAAATAAAATTGAATTTCATTAATGAGCTCTGATAAAAAAAAATATTAAAGAAATTTTCAATAAGTAAATTTGTTTTGGGCACCTGTAAACAGAATATTGAACAGCTGTAGTGTAAATTTCATCAACTATATAATGCTTTGTAACAATCACAACTTTCTGATTAAGAAATTTATCAATATAAAGTCAATACAGAAAATTGGATTTGAGTATTTTGTTATTTAGCCCAGAGTTATGTAAATTTTTTGCAAAATGTTGGACTTTATTGAAAGGCAGATATTACACCCTATATGCATGTATTTGCAAAACATATCTCTTTATTTATACAACAATCAAAAGTGAAAAATCTTTCTTTGCAAATTTTTTTATCTTAAGTATTGAAAAAAGAATTATAATTAGCTAATATAGACTTAAATAAAATTATGTTTATATATTACTTTCTAATAAGTTTATTGTTAAATTCAGATATTTTTTGAAGGCAGTACTATGGAAGAAGGAAATAGAAACAAATCTATTGTTTACAATATAATGTTTTTTGAGAATTGATAGCTTTTTTATTTGATGAAAAATATTTCTAGAGAAATTAATATTCAAAATCTTAATACTGATAATAAGGAAAATTCATTTTCAAAAGTTATCAATAAAGCAAATGCAACCAAAATTGCTTTATAGGTTGATAAAAAAAACAATTTATTTTTTAGTGAAACTAGAAATTGTTTTAACAAAGATTTGTTTTTGAAATTTATGCAATAAGCTAATACATCTTGTAGTTATGAAAGTTAATAGCACTGACAAAATTCTTAGTAGATATTAATCTATTAATTGGAATAAATTAGTTAAAAATTGCAGTAATTACTTTTTTGTAAAATTAAAGATGATTTATTAAAGATTATTTTTAGAATTTATATAATAAGCCAATAATATAACTTGTAGTTATAAAATTGATAGTGCTAATAAAATATAAACTATTAATTGGAATAATTAATTAATTTGTCTTTTAGAAATTTATGTGATAAGTTAATATATCTTGTTGTAGTTATAAAAATTGATAACACTAAAAAATATAATCTATCAGTTAAGATAATTAAATAACTGGTTTATTTTTTTGTAGAATTAGAGATAATTTTACTAATAATTCATTTATAAAATTAATGGCACTGTCAAAACTCTGTATATATAATCTATCAGTTGAATAAATCAGTTGGTTTAAAAATAGTATTATTCAAAATTTTGTGTTAAATAGTACAATATTTATAAGTTATTAAATCATATGATAATAAATATCATAAAATTTGTTTTATTAGAACAAATTTTATAATATTTATTATTACATAATCCAATATTGATGTTTTTTTTTTTTATTTCCCTTAAGCAGTCATGGTAGTACTTTATTAAACCATTTGTAGCTACATATGTAAATACAGAATATTATTTAATTTATAAATCTATCATCATCCAGCCACCCAAACAGTACCTAAATGCGACCTGCTGCACTAATTTAGTTAGGACTAGAAATTACGATTCATCTAACTCTTACCCTACAATAGGATACCACTAATCTGAAGACATTTTCTCGTAGGAAAGAAAAAAAAAAAAAAAAAAAAAGATTTTAAAATTGGGAAAAAGAGAAATGAAAATAGAGAGTAAAATAAAACTAAACAAAAAGAAAATGAAACTAATTTATAAGAAGAATAAAGAAAGAAACCTGCTAACAGATAAAACTCTATTCTATGATTGCTGCTCACTACAATGTTTTCATATTTTTATAGACTATAGCTATTCTTTAGAAACTAGGTACTCTTAACCAGAATGAAAACTGTATTTACTTGTAGAATAGAGTTTGAGCCAGGCATTTTCCATATAGGAGAAATCTTCAAGTAGGTGGGGTACTGTGCCAAGATTTGGAGTGCACTTAAGCAGTCCAATTCTTCATAAACCCCTATAACCCTTTTTTTTAAAAATATTATACACATGGCCTCAGAATATATGCATATCTTAATATATTTTTGGTCTTTTCAAATTAAATCCTTTTTCGATCTGCTCTACATGATTGGCTAACTTACATGTTTGTTGTGTTTCTTATTTGCTATATTCAAACAAGCATGTAACTGCAAAAGGAAGTGATGCACAATGTCAATGTTTTGATAGAGATAAGCCAAATCTCTACTTTTCAAGAAGAAAAAAAAAAAAATTGAAGAGAAAGTATATTGTTGTTGCAAGGATCCAAGTTAAAAAGAGTTTTTCTAGTTGTTCTTCTGCTTCTAATATTCTTAACCAGAGAACTGATTTTGTCTTTACTTGCTTTCAGAATATCCTTTTAGTTTGGATGCTGAATATGTAAGGGAGTCCACCAGACAAAAAGCTTGACCCAAGGCAAGAACCATTTAAGTTTTGTCTGCTTCTTGGTGTATCACGTACTTGAGCTTTGTCAACAGCAAGTTTACTTAATGTAAAACTAAGAATATTATCCACTTTGGAGCCAGAGTCTTTAATCTACTTTCAGTGCCAACTTGGTCCAGATGATCATCAAAAGAGTTCATATTGTAAAACTTTTCAATATTGATATTATTGTGCAATTATAATCATAATTTATAAGTTATTATTGGTAAAGTTATAATTTAAGATTGTTATGCTTATATAATATCATACAAAAAATAACAAGAAAAAATCTATGATCATAAGAGTTTGCATGATAACAAATATTATTTATTTAAAAAAATAAAATTATTTTATTTAAATATTATTTAATTTATATTAATTAGACCTGCAGGTCGATAGCGAAGTGGTTACATTCCCAGGTTGCCAATCGCAAGATTGCTAGTTCAAGTTCAATGGAGAACAAAAACTAAGTTAGAACTACAATTGTTAATTAATCACAGCTAACTGTAAACTACAAAAATAGAAAGATCTTCAGTACCCAGATCCTTAAATAGTAACAGACCTGATATAAAAAGGCTGCAATGATTAGGGAGCTAAGAATAATAATAGAACAAAGGAATCCCCGATTAAGAATAATCCTAGTAAAATTCCAGAATAATAGGAACACAAAAATTAGTATATAGATAGTACTATAAAATATATACAAATAATATAAAATGTAGACAGGGTCCTGATAGAAGGTTTTGTAAACTTGAAATATAAACTAATAAAACAGCTACCAGCTGTGGCCTACTAGTGACCATGTAGTGGGAAATTAAAAAAAAAAAAAAATTTATATTAATTAAATTATAATACAAACTCTCTTTACTAATCTTTATAACCAAATTTGAAGCAAAAAGAAAACTATAGAAAATGCAAAAGCTGTCAAGTCAAAGTACAGAAGCTGACTAAGCAAAAAGAAAACTAATAGAAAATTAGTTATAGTCTGTTAGAATAGTAAAATAAAAGAACAACAGTATAACAACCTAGAAGCAACTCTTTCGAAATTTTCTTGATTTTAAAAAAATTTTTTTTTGAAAAAACAAAAAAATACAAAAACTCAGTATTGCAGATTATATATGTAATATATAAATTAAAATAAAATAAACAATAAGTATAATAAGAAATAAACAAACAAATATATAATCATGCAAATAAATAAATAAACACAAACTTAAAAAGCAATCACATGTTTAGTATATCTAATAAGGCTATAAAATAATATAAAGAAGTATTACATAGAAGGTTTAATCAATGTTTACAGAAACTGGCTAGTACAATAAACTAAAAAAATATTAAGGCTTGTTTAGTAAGTTAGACAAAGTACAAAAGGAAATATTAGAAAGTCATGAACCAAAAGTTTTAAGAAAAGATAAAAAATTAGCCAAACTTATTAGTACTAAGTTAGTACTAGTCTGTATATTTAGAAATTTAATAGAGTTATATAACTACTATGAATATATGCAAACAAGAAACAGTAAAAAACTAAGAAAAAGTAGTAATCAGCAAATAAAAAAGACAAAGGCAAATAGAAAAATGTTGCTA